AGAAGGAAATCAATTCTATAATGAACCTAGGGAGGCAAAAAATTTCATAGGGAAAAATGAAAAGGGATTTAATGCAGAGAAATGGATAAAAATTTGACACCTTTTTTTTGGTACTGCCCAAATTAAGGGGGAAGTTTATTTTATTTTGTTTATTTTATTTTCAGATATAAAGTATCAGTACAGAAATTTGTTTATGTGTTTGTTTCTGATGTTCAAATTTGAGAGTCCTCATATCCTGAGGCAGAAGGAACATTTTCAAAGACACACCACACAATTCTATATCCTTTATTACTTCAGTTCTCTTTTGTTTCCTTTTTCAACCAGAAAAGAAGGCTTTTTCATGATATCTGATGCTGTACTCAACCATCCAGAAATATAGTAAATAACCCACAAGATGCAATTTCACTGGAGGAGGATCATAAGCTCTTAGAGGGCAGCAGTACTTGCCTGGTGCTGATGTTGCGTCTCAACCACTTTGTAGTAATTCCCCACAGAAGGGAAACTTAATTAAGGTTGGCTGGGAACTGAGAGCAGGCACTGACATAGGGAATCTAAGACTCAAATATCCTGTTTGAATCAGAATTCAGTTTTTATATAATAAAGTGTTGCACATTTTAAACAAGGAATGAAAAATACAAGCAAAATTATAGACGAATGTCATAAAATAAACTATCAAGAAAATATGTGCTGAAATAAATCATAAACTTTTTGTGCAAATTTGAGAAAGCATAATAGGATGGAGGAAATTAAGCCAAAACACATGAATGATGTAAATGTAGATATGTGTAGAAATTAGCTGTGTATGTGGTCAAATATAAGTGTGGGTGCTGCCTTACTACCAAATCATGTCAAACATTTTCTGGAAATGAAGAAGTTAGGGGCAATTAGTATGTGGGAAAGGGAACACATTCCAGAGAATGTCATCCCTCTGCTTGGGATGACATTGGGTGCTGCCTTAGGCTAAGATGATATGAAGAGTCCTTTTAGATCAGCTGCCTTTTTTTCAGTACTTTTCTATTTTCCTGTCTGTGCTTTTTACTTTGAGACTGTCACATTTCAATTCTTTATATCTCTGCTTTATTTTACCATTTCAGAAGCGACACCAAGCTAATGCTTCCTCTAATCTCATACCTGCCAATAACACTAAGGTCAGTGCAAAGCCCCAATGTCAGGAGGAATAGCTCTGTCGTAATGTTTCAATAATGGCAATGCTTTGACAAGCACATTTGATGAGTTTCCTACCTGTTATTTTCTGTTATTAGAAAACAAATACAAACAAAAACACCTTTTTGTTTTAATCTCCCAGACTGACTAAAGCCTTCTCTTCCTTTCAGTCTTGTTGGCCTAGGCACAGGCGAGTTAACGGCACTATTTTTGGTGGCATCTGTGAGCCATGTCAGTGCTTTGGTCATGCAGAGTCCTGTGATGACGTCACTGGAGAATGCCTGGTAAGTGCCCTCCTTTTTGGGGATGCTGATTGACAAGGCTGAAATCACCTCAACAGATGCTGCAATTCAGTTACTACCCTGGAGACTGTAAACACTTGAGTCAAGAAGTGCTTTGACAAAGATCTTTGTACCAAACTGAGTTGGAACTGTGAATGCTCTTTCATATGTGATATTCCTGATGAATATAAGGAAGTGTTTATTCATATTAGTCCAAGAATTAACTTAGAATCAGATATATTATTATAAGGCATAACTTATGATGGAAGATATAGCTACCACGAATATATATGGTTTCACTTCCATTCATAAATCTATGAAAAGTACAGTGTACTTTTAAAATAGAAAATAATTTGTATCCCCATAACATGAAAAGTATAAAATATAACCTTTACAGTAAACATAATTAAGTTTTCTTCATGTTGAAAATAAAGACATACTGAATATTTTAATTTAAAATGTTCAGAATTTAACAACGCATAGTATCATTTGTAGATTAAAAATAATAACAATATTTAATGCATATTCACCAAAGCTGCTTCTCCTTTACAGTTAAGTCTAAGCTTTAACCAGGAAATAGACTCTGCAAAGTGCAAAGCACTTTCCATCCTGCTAAGAAGCCTTAGGATTGGAGAATTACACTGAATAGACCATTCTGATTAACTCAAGGGCACATTAGTTTTATATTGTCTGACGTGGCATGAAGCTTGAAACAACACTTCTCATTTCATTAGTCTTGCAGAAATGCAATTTAAAATGGTGCCAATTTAGGTGGATATCATACTCTCATTTCCCTGAAGAATTTAAGGCGGACCCTGTTGTCTTTAATTCTTAATGTTCTCTCTTTCTCTTGCTCATTTTCCCCCATTTCTCTTCTACTTAAAAGCTTCTGGGAAAAATCCGAAATGAAAATTCAGGGCTTTTGTTTCAATGTAATTTGGCATTAAGGTTTATTGATGCTCTTTCTCTTTTCTCTATATAAGATTTTGTTTAATTGCATTGCATTATAAAGCATGAAAGCCTTAATTTGTGGATCAGTAGATTTTTGAAATGACATTTTTATGAATAGAAAGACTAAGTGATTTTCATTTTAATTATGCCATAAGTGTTTTAAAATGTACTTTGGGAAAAATATTGGGTTACCTTTAAACACTTTACTAACATGCAATAGGAAATAATATTCAGCCCAAAAATGACATGTATTTGTTTTACTTACCCTAGGAGGACAAAAATAAGTGTGTCATGACACCAAACTCATAATGTTCCCTATAGTCATATTTCATGTTGAATTCATTAGGATAAAAATCAAATCAAATGTTCATGCTAAATTCATTAGGAGGAAATCAAATTGGTCCATTTGGTGATGTGATATTTCTAAAAATGAAAGCCTTTTTAACGAATAAAACAGTGTCATTCAGCATAATTTTGAGAAAAAGAAGAGAGGAAACAGTGTTGTGTGAGACTCTCTACTAATGAAACCTAGTTTATTGACTTTGTTTCATGACAGGGAGATAGGAGTTCTCCTTCAAAGACCAGAGTGGTCTTGAGGAAACAGTGAATATCTTGATGATAAAGACAGAATCTGGTATTCTCTGAATTTTCTATCATAGCTAGTAAATAGGTGATCATGTAGGGTATGCTGACTTTCAAGTGCCCTTTCTCCAAAATGGTATTGATAACTAAGTGCTGATATTCCATTTTGAGTATATGGGTTCTGATGTAATATACAAAGAGGAAAATATTTGTATGCTGCTCATCAAGGGCATCCTTACTATTCAGTTGACCCAGCATTTTAGCTTCTTATTTATTTTTCATGGTTTTTACCCAGCATTAAATAGCATGATTTTTACTATGAAAAATAAATTTATAAATGAATGCTTTTTAGTTTAGCTTGCTTTAATATTTGATTATAAATTAACTGACATATATTTTGGACATCAGAACAAAATTTAAACCTCTGTAATAGTGTAGGTCTGTATGAAGAACGCATTTTAACTGGAAGTACGTTTGAAGTAACCTAGGAAGTATTCAGTGTCACATGGGAAGATTGCATGCTTGCTTCTTCTCATGGTTCTTGTGATATATGATGTGAGCAAAAATTTGTTAAGTGCTTTTGTTACAAGACACCTGTAAAATTCAGCAATCCATCAGAGTGAAACTTCCATCTTTTTGTTTTGATTTCCATTATGTTGATAGTTTGATGCTGTTTTCTGGACTCCATGACAAAAATGCTTGAGTTATAAGATGGCATTTATTTAATGAAATGTGACATTAGAAAATATAAAAACTACCTGTTATTTCTCTTTTAAATCAATAAGTAGAAAAAACAGGGTCTCTGAGTTATGCAAGATTTTCAGTTGAGTGTTAGAAATGCCATTTTCCACACGTTTAAGGCATAATTTTTTGATTCAATTTTTAAAATTCTTAAGTCTTTGAAGACATAATTTTTAGTTCTATCACTGAGATAACATACAAAGAATTTTTCAAAAAACAAACAATTCTTTAGTGATAAATTAGTCTAGCTAAACTTGAAAATTGAAAGGAAATGAAACAAAGATCAAATCAAAGGGAAAAATCTTTCTTCAAATCGATCCATGTTTTGCTTATTAAATCACAATATGCTGCATTATTAAGGCAACTATTCATAGTGAAGTTGACCTTAATGCTATCTTTTAAAAAGTTTTGTTAAAAATAAATTTGAGAGAGAATTTTAAATAACTTAAAGAAAAGCCTATTTTCAAATATCACCAGTTACTACAGAAACACATATTCACATTTAGTTGATGTAACTGGCATGTGATGTTTAAATTTTTTCAATTTTCTCAATGTTTAATTATGAGACAAGCAAGCTTTTCACAGATGTAATGCAGTAGTCATTGTCCAAATCATTAGAGTCCACTGAGGCCAAAATTAATGTCTGCGCTAAGAGGACATAGCCCCAGAGGATTTGTATAATTAACCACAGTTCCCATTAAATCAGCAATTTCATGCTGAACAATTGATTTTTACCTAGAATCATCTACAATTTCCATTAAACATATTTTATTAGCACCTTATGACTATACACACACACACACACACAATCATGTATTAAGAGAAAAACTAAAGAAAAAATGAAGTATAATTTGCATAACAAAAACAATAAAATGAATTTCAGTCATGTTTTTGTTAAGTATGCATATGCGGAAATTACTGTGTAGCTTATATGTTAGATATTAAATTAGCTTTCAATGCTATTTCCCTGCTGTAAAATTGACCATTTAACATGGAAAAAATATTCTTGCTGGTGGGGAGCAGACTAATGATTTTGTAGACCTATTTTTGGCAACATATTGATGCCTGAGACCAAAATAATAAACTCTGATGTGCATTCTTCCTCAGAACTGTAAGGATCACACAAGTGGCCCATACTGTGATAAATGTCTTCCTGGTTTCTATGGCGATCCTACTAAAGGAACCTCTGAAGACTGTCAACCCTGTGCCTGTCCACTCAATATCCCATCCAATAAGTAAGTAACAAAATTACTCCATGAAGCAGTTCAGCATCCATTTCTGCAAGCACTTTTAATATCAAATATACTCTTTCTCTTATCCCATGTAAATAAATGATAAACACAGACATGAATTTTTTCAGGAAGGTAAAATGAATTTTTCCAAACATTAGATATTTAAAATTATAATGATTTATTTTTAAGAATTTGTAATTTTTTAGCTTGAGTTTTGGTGATTTAATATCTAAGAGTAGAGCTCAAATAGAATTTCCACACAAATTCCAAAGAACAGAAATATTTTATACAAACACATACATGTGCATGCATGTACGCACCTACACACAGATCCATACCCATCTTCATACCTTAATAAAAGGATACAAATACAGCTAATTTGGGTTCTAGCCACACATATTTTTTGGTGAATCTTACGCTAGTAATAAACCTCTCAAAAGGTAAAATAAAGGGACTGAATTAACTGATTTTTAAGCACTCATCCTATCCCTTTAAAAAAAAATTTCCAGTTGTTCACCTAGAACAACCACCTCTTAGAGCAGATTTTAAAAACAAACAACAAGAATGCTTGACTTCCTCTTTCCTTAACTTTTAGGGGAATGCTATAGCCAGCTGCTTGAATTCATATTCTCTCAGGGCAGCCATCTCGAAGTAAACAGCTAAGCACACCCCAACCAAAAATATTATATTTTGTTTTTAAATTAGGATACTAGGTTGAATAAAAATCAACCATTTTTACTTGACAGCAATTACAAATAACTATACTTTTAAATCAAAGGAAATTCTTTTCTAAAGAACTATCTTAAAGGTAAGCTCAGTGTATAATAAAGTTCATATCATCTTGTACACTTTCCAGCTATGTCTAGGCACTGTGGTAACAGTGGCAGAGCAAAAATTTTCAATGATTTTTAAGGGAAATCTGTCAGGTGCACTCTTTTAATGTGAAGATGTGATCAAGTAAGTCATACTTCAAGCTCTTACCCAGAATATGCCTAATTAAAATGGTCTTTTGTTAGTTTCAATGAATACTATAAGCTAAAGACTTTGAGAATAGTTCTGACATTAAGTTTAAATGTCCTCCTTGGAACTGTGCTTCCTGCTGTTCAATCCACATGAAATCCTTATCCTCCCAAGGACCCTATTTACTCGGAAATTTTTACCTTACTCATTTGGAAGAGAAAAAACTACCACTTAATGAAAGCAGACTACTAGATTCTAGGCCAAACACTATATTTGGTATTGTTTCACCTTCAACTATAAGTCAGTAAAGTAGATGTTATTATCTCCATTTTACAGATGAAGAAATGAAAACTATTAGTAGAAAAATAACATTATGGTGCCAATTCTGTAGCCAGAATCTTTGATTTAAATGCTGGGTTCCATTCTTTCCAGCTGTGCAACTTTAGGCAAGTCACTGAAACTCTCTGTGCCTCAGTTCTGTCATCATTAGTTGTAATAATAGGACTCTTATAGGGTTGATGTGGGAAAGACATAATTAAAATGTGTAAACCACCCTAAACTGTGACTGAATATGGTGAACCCAGTCTAAGAGCTGATTGTTATTAACCTCCTCAGAGTCATAAAGCATTGAAGTATCCAAGTTGAAATTTTAGTTTTAAAATCCATGTGCTTTCCAAATGTCTATAGTCTGCAATGAAGACTTCTTGAAAAAAAATACACACTGCATTTTAAGTGATAACACTAAAAGCAATAATTAATTCATTGGATAAGTCAATTTATCTAGCAAGGCTTTGAGAAAATAAGACATTGGTTTAATGCAGGTGCCCTTAACCATCCATGGCCTGTTAGGAACCAACCATCCATAGCCTGTTAGGAACCAGGCCACCTAGAAGGAGGTGAGTGGTAGACATTACCACCTGAGCTCTGCCTTCTATCAGATCAGGCAGGCATTAGATTTTCATAGGGGCTCAAACCCTATTGTGAACTGTACCTGCGAGGGATCTAGGTTGTGTGCTCCTTATGAGAATCTAACCAATACCTAATGATCTGATGTGGAACAGTTTTATCCCAAAACTCCTCCCCTGCATCTGTGAAAAAAATTGTCTTTTGCAAAACCAGTACCTGATGCCAAAAAGTTGGGGACCACTAGTTAATATATATTAGTGATCAGAGCATTTCTAGGGCTTAAAGCATTAGCCTAGACGGGCAAAGAACTGAAGATTCTTTAACAACCAAGGATGTCAGAGAAGAGGAAGAAGGCAAGAGAGAAACCTACTGGAAAATAATGAATATAGGAGAACAAATGAAATACACTTCTTCATTATTAATGGCTGAGTAGCCATTGATACTCAAGTCTATGATAGTCATAACATGACACAAAACCTGCATTCTGGTGTATATGTGAAGGATTAGCTCACCCAATGGAAGACCTACTCACTGACCATGGCTAAATGGCATTCTCTTCTCTTAACCAGCCTCATTTACATGAAACTCATTGTTCATGACTAACTTTCATAGAGGAAACCAGAAGGATTGCATCTGGCCACTTGTATTGCATCTCCTTCTCAGCCAAAATGTCATGGGCTATCAATCCAGCAGAGCTGGCTGCTCATTGCATCATGTGAATTCTAGCTGAATACGTTTTAAAATTATATAATTGATTATGTAGATCCTATGGATTTACCCTCAAGTCTGACCAACATTACTATAAATGCAGGGGAAGCATTAGGGAGATAATTTTGCTTGGATAATTATAGGCATTCACGATGCATCGTTGTCTCTTTATTTGCTGTGCATTTGCTTTGATAATGGGTTCTAATTGTTGTTTCTGAAAAAGAAAGAGAGTCTGTGAGCATTAAAACACCATCCATCAGTGTCAAAGGGACTGGAGTTCCAGTGTCCAATAATGGTATTTCCTAAAATATGTGTATTCCAATTTGGCATAATGATGTTGATCCTGATTTTTAAAAATACAGACAAAACAATATTAACAATACTAGTAACACCAAATATTAAAAAAATTCCATTTTCAAAGTGCTTTCACTTACAGTAAGTGACTAATAATTATTAGTAAATATTAATTAGCAAATTATCAAATATTAATATTAAAAAATTCAAACTAGCAAACTAGCAAATATTAATAATTCAAAAATTATTAAATAAAACATATTTTAATAGTAAAATTGGGAATAGAGTAGCAATCTATTTTAAATTCCAACTTTCAATGTGGTATTTTAACAAGTAGAAAGAGAGGGCAGAGATAATTCACTTAGTTTATAAATCCTGAAGGTTTGTGATAGGGTTATAATGTCTTTTACATTTAAAACAGTTTAAAACAATTTTACATTTAGAACAACTAGAAAATTATCATAGTTTAGCTGCACAGCTGTGATGAGAAAAATCCATTTTCATCTAACAACCTGAAATGTCTAAAAAAAAGAATCACTAAACAAGACACTTAATGACCTAGGGAAACTATTCTTTTTAAAAAGATTTATAAAAAACATTACTGTTATAATGTGAGCTAGAAACTCTGATGTATGAATTGAATATTTGCATATAGTCCTGAAGATGAGATTTTAATTTCCAGGGGTTATTCAGAGAAGAAAAAAAAGGGAGCTAAAGGTTGCCGCAACCTTCATGGGAAGTCTAAAGCTTACTGATAGTTTTACCTTGGTGATTTATCTATTTAATCCCTCATCATAAATCTTATAGATCACTAGCATTTTGGCTCCAAATTTCTTAGATAATATTGCTAAATAAATCAAATGTGTAAGAAGATAGAGATAGATTGGTATAATTATTATGATGTATGAATACAGACAAGCATATAATATTTAAATTATGCATATATATCAACTTCATCAACTCCTGCGGTCACTGCGCTTGGCCATCTCATTTTGTTGATGTATATATTCTAGCTATAGATTGTAATTAGGAAGTAAAATTTATCTGTAGAGAAGCAAATAAAAATGTAAATATTTCAAATGTTTTATATTCATTAATTTCTGGCATCACATAGCTTATAGGTTAAATAAAATACGAAAGTGACATGTGAATGTCTGCCTTTGAATACTTAGGATGTGTTTGATTATATAATATTATTGAAGTTGTTATAGATTTTCATCAGTTATATAATAAAAGATATTATTGGCACAAGGCTGAACAGAGGTATGTCCTCAATATGATTTGTCTACTGATAGTATTATAAATAATACTGCTTTGCGTGGGTCAGGAATACTGAAATTTAAGTTTTTGAAAGAGTGAAACTTTCAAATTTGAGCTGACCTTTGGGCTTACTTAAGAGACCATGCTGAATGCACATTGTTAAAATTAATATAGAGAAATATATTCCAAGATAAGAGGCAAATTTAAGGAAACATTCAATTCAACCATATTCTCTAGAAAACTGAGAATGCTCTAGATGTTTTAGTGTTCTTTCCTAAGCAACGTTTTATGTCCACATGGGAGATTATGATGGGTTTTCCTAGTTCCATATACCAAAGGAAAAAAACTGAAGTTCAGAGAAATTAAATGCCTTGGTAGTGATTATACAGATTGCTTGTGGCAGAACCAATATTAGAACTCATATATTTTGACTCACCTCTCTGTGCTTCTTCCAATGGGGCTACAGTAATAGAAACAATTACAGAAACATTGAAAAGAAGCAAAAAAAAAAAAAATAGAATTTAATGTCAGACAAACTGTAAATGCTCACTGTAAAAATCAGTAAATCTTCACTGTTTGGCAAGAGTTACGTTAACTATGCTACATAGTTACAGTTATGTTAACAGTTATGTCATTAAATATTAATTAAATATCTTAATTAAATATCTCAATTAAATATCTTAAACATTAAACAAATCAACATATCTTAATTTGTTTAAAAATGTGTAAAAAAAAGGTAAAGTTTTTAAAAAGTTACTAAATTGTATCTATAATTTATTTTGACACTATGCTTTCATACTTTCTCAGTATAAAAGGGTTTATCAGATCAATCATGTTATTCCATTTTGCAGAATGGGAAACAAGTTTAGAGAAACATATCATTCAAAGACATATTTAGAAAATAAATCAAGTCTAATTACAAAATCCAATTGTGGAGATTAAATCAGATTTCATAGTATTTAAAGATAATTAAAGAAATAAATGTTTGCTTAATGACTCTGCTGAGAATAACTGGGAGAGATCATTGAACTGAAGAAGAAAAAACTTAGAAACCTCAGAAATGTATGAAGCCAACACCAAAATCATGAAGTAAATGAATTTTTTTCTTCATGTTCCTCTCAGTCCCCTGCCCCTTTTCAGTTGTGTGTGGATATTCCCATTACCCTCCCCTCTAACTTCCCCACTGCCATTTTGTAGCCACTCAAAACGGTTTCTCTTTCCCTACCCAACTGTCCAAGATAAGAATTTAGTTGAAAGAAGGCCTGATCCCCTGTTGTATAAGCAAATACAGAACATGCCCTGAATCTCTAACCCTAATGATGGAAGTTTCAATAGTATGCCATTGATTAAAGGAGTGGTGGTTTTATATCACATCTCAGTCCTAAGAAGTAATTCATTGTATTTTATTCCAAATGCATGACACTTAAAGATATATAAAACAGTTTCACACATTTACTTAATATGTGTTTAGTTTTATTTTAGGGTGTTGGATTAACTCTCTGGGAGCATTTTCATTAGAACTGAATTTTAGGACCCATAGGAGCAGTTTTCCCAATGTCTGATAATCGGGAATTGTTGAGCTTCTGTTGAGCAATTGTTTTGCTTTTGGCTTCTCTGAATCATTTACCTGTTGACTGTCCCCTTTTGCATTAGCTGTGAAAACCTCAAAGCCAAATGTTGATCCTCCATAAACAAATGAACATACCTTATAACATGCTTTTTGAACTCTAAATATATCCTTATCTTTTTTTTAGTATTTCTTTCCCTTTAACCTCACTTTATTCTTAATGCACATATTTATATAGAATTAAATTCTTTTTAGAGCAAGGTTGTTTCTGTATGTATGCATTCACATACTTAAACATATATACATATGTTGACATACATATTCACATGTATACACATGCATACGCATACATATATACATGCTTATAAGTAGATCATTATAAAAATAAAAGTATGTATTCATCCATCAAGAGGGATAACTTCCATGCGCATGTCCTTACTGTTTATCCCAATAACAGCTTCTCTTCCTCCCCTATTTGTGGAAAACACCTGCCGCTCTTGGCTTTTTTGTGTTTCCTTGTGGCATGATTTGGATAGTCCAGGATGAAGAACATTCTCTGCTGGTGTAGAGCTTGCCAAATAGAGTTAAATGACATAATCTTGGAATCACTTGAAGTCAGTGATGATCTCACATTTTCCTCTTTGTGTCACGGAACAATAGCTTCATGCCTTGGCCAAAATCAGTGCTAAGTCTGCTACATTTGCCAATGCAAATTCCCTAGACTTTTTTATTGTGCATGTTTATTTCTCATTCTAGTTTTATTTTTGTTGTTGAATGCCATCTTCTGCCATAGCTGTAACTGCAATTACAGCAGTAAGAGAGTGAATCTTCAGTTTATGTTGTTGAAAGAATATCAAAGCACAAATACAGATATAATTTGTGAGAGAGTTTTATTTGGATGCATCATGTCGAGTAATTTATATTACTAGAAGGTTAAACTTACTTAATGCTTACCAGTAGGTTTCAATGACAATTGGTTATAGAAAGAGGAGGACATCACATTAAGAATCTAAAGTCCTAGATGCATACCAAATTATCCCGGAAATTTAGTATATGATCTTTGTTAAGAAAAACTCTGCCTGCCCCAGCCAGCTCTAGGATTTTGTGAAACATGATAAAATTGTGAACGTACTCTGAACTGTAAGGAGCTGGTCAAATCTAACATATTTTTATTACTTAATTTTTTTTTCTTGAAAAATTGTTGGCTTTTGTCAGTGAGCATCTTTTACTTATGTTGGTTTTAACTGACATGTGAGTGTATTTAAGAATTTGAAATCTATTTTATGAATAGCTTTAAAATGTCAAGGCTAGTCATAGTGACTCATGCCTGTAATCCTAACACTTTGGGAGGCCAAGGCAGGTGGACCACTTGAGGTCAGTAGTTCAAGACCAGCCTGGCCAATATGATGAGATCCCATTTCTACTAAAACTACAAAAATTAGCTGAGTATGGCCACACATGCTTATAATCCCACTACTTGGGAGACTGAGGCATGAGAATCGCTTGAACTCAGGAGGTAGAGGTTGCAGTGAGCCAAGATCATGCCACTGCACTCCAGCCTGAGCAATAGAGACCCTGTCTCAAAAAAATAAAATAAAATAAAATGTAGGAAACCTTGTCAACCAGCTTTGACACAAGTTATGATAGACTGACTTAGGATTATAAAAAATAATTGATATGATTTTCTTTCAATCAGTATAGTCCCACAGAAGTGGGAAACCCAGTGCTTCTGGTTGGAGTCAGTTTCTCAGTAGATGATGAGATAGTTACAGAATGACAGTTTTCAAAGAAGACATACAGAGATTGGTCAAAATGCAGTTCCCACTTTTATATCTGTAAACAATAATAGCAAATCACTGAATGAGGATGAGAGAAAATCTTTTTTTTTTTTTTTCATTTTAACCTGTGCATCTTCAGTGCAATAACCATCCTGTCAAGAAAAATCACCTATAGGGAGATGTCTTTGGGTCATGTGTAGCAAAGTATAGGATGCTTTATAAAAGGAGGATCTCTACTTGCAGTGCACATGCTAAATATGTCTTGTCCACTGTTGACAGCTACCAAGACACCTTAATGTGGAATCTTTTATCTGAATAATATTTATAAATTCAAAGCATCCCAGACCAGGCTTTATCTCCTTGACACAACAGATTCATTTGAAGTTTCCACTGAGTTGAAATGTTTAAAATGATAGACTGATCTGGTCCTAACATCTTGCTAGTATCCAAAATAAAAAAGAACTATTAAATATTTACAGAGTTAAGCCAGAGAAATATTATTCAGAAATAGTGTTCATGATCTGATCTGCACCAAAGTTAAGAAAGTATTCCAAAGTAATTCAAGTGTCAGGAGCAGGATGAGATCAGGACTTGCAGTGTTTAATTTGTTGTTCTTTCTTTAATTCATTTAGCCATCAAACAAGTCTCTATTGAATTGCCCTGTCATATATAATAGAAAATAAATCTACTTGGGGAAAACGTAATAAAAGAAAGATTAATTGAGGGCATTTCCCTTTAAAACTGTACCGCAGCAGACCTTACAGACCAGAATGGTTGATGGTCCTCCAGAGAGCCAGTCGAGAACCACATTACCATGTGTCAGTCTTGGGGTAGGGGCTCATGTATTAGAGGTGTCTCTCACAAGGCAAAGAAGCATGGCTGGAGGGAAACATCTTGCTAAAGACAAAAGCTAGCTCCTGAGTTCTCTGCTGGTTCTTGATCTAGTGTTCAGCTCCGTTACTTCAGATCCAAATTAGAAATACATGCAAAGAGATAAGTGAACTTTGAAACATGCCAGGAGGTATGAGATGGCAAGGTTTCTTTTGTTTGGTTAGGTTTATGATAAGTTTAGGTAGAATATACACACTTGATCTCTTCTGAAAGCTTTCCTGAGGAGGCCATCAGTGTGAGGGCGTACCTGCAGCAGCCTGCACACAGCCACACCCCGCTATGGCGGTAGCTGAAGTAGGAAGCACTGTCACCACCACTACCACATGCTGAGTTTTCCAAAATCTCTAAACGATTTCTCCAGGCTGCTTCCAATTCAGAGGGATTTGACTAGAGAAGAAAGTATGTGCAGTTGTGTATGAGCCAGGCTGGGGGGGATTTCTAAAGAGCAGCTATACATTTCCACTTGTTACTGATGATCACATCCCAGAGCATTCAAAAGTCAGTTAGTAACATGTCACAGGGATACTGCTTTCCACTGGGCTATATTCATGTCTGCAGAAATAGCAATGTCATTTCATCCTCCATTGGCCAGACCCTAATCTCCGTCTCTGAGGCAACAATGACCAGCCTGTACTCTTTTGCCAGAGCAGTAGTGGAGAGAAAGAAATGAGAAAATGCTGCTAATGACTTCGTGTATGTGCTTCTTTCTTGTCCCTGTTTTCTGCAACAACATCAACATAGCTTTAGCCCAACATGCCATTTAGACCGGAGTCTGGGGTTGATCTGTGATGAATGCCCTGCCGGGTACACAGGACCACGCTGTGAGAGGTAAGTGTGTACTATACTGTCTTGCAAAATGATTTCTACCTTGGGAGTTATAAAACCAGAGATAGGGTCATCCTTTGCATCATCCTTTGGAGAAAAATGGCCACACTCAATGAAGAGAAATAAAGTTTCTCAACACACATGTCAAACAAATGCATTGTATTTTTGTAATTTATTTATTTTTCAGAAATTGCTTCATATATCTTCATTCACTTGGAGAATATCTGATTAATGTTTTAATTTTAAAGGTTAAGTATTAACCCATAATCTTTGCAGAAAGTATTGCTCCAGTGGAAAATCACGCACTTTAAGATTTATCTTACTATGTAGGCACCATTTATTTTTCATAATTAGCTTTTTGTCCTTAAAATGTAGCTTAAATCCATAGTTCATAGTTCAGCCAGTGGTTCATAATTTACTTTAAATATATTTGAAAATACAAACAAAACGTAATTTATTATCATGATTTATATCCTCTTCTAATTACTCCTAAACCAGTATTTTAATTCCTGTTGATTTTATAGGTTGCTTTGCAGCGGAAACAAGAGTATTATTTTGTGTCATTTGTGTGCTTATATTTCCTCCTGAAATGTTTTTGAAGAAATAATACTATATATTCAGTCTCAGCATAAAAATGATACCAACTTCCCCCTTGACATCATTGCCAAACGCAAAACCCTCCCTCTGGTTTCAGCACTGGCAATAGTCCCCGCTGCTACCCTTCCTGGGAAGGAGGGGGACAAAGGAAGTGACCTGTTTTCACTCATCGTCACTGAGGCTAACCCTGAAGAGGGCTATTTCTGCCCATCTTTTCCTGTCATCTTGGCAGCTATCACTCCTGTTTCAACCAGGATGCATAAAATCAATTAAGTGGAAGCCTATCACCCAGAGAGAATTTAGCTAGCAACTGGCAGTCTGTGGACAAAGTGCCAATGACAGTTCTAGCAGCAACAAGTACTATTTGTGAGTGTAAAAGCATCTGTAAATTAGGAATGGAAGAAAAAAAAGTGAAACAAGGAGGATTTATTTGCAATCAAGAAACTGGATATCTCTCTGTGTGTGTGTGTGTGTGTGTGTGTGTGTGTGTGTGTGTGTGTGTTTAAAGAAAGGCGTGTACATATTACTATGGTAGGAGAGCATATCATTGCCAAGATAGATTTACATCAAGTGCCTAAACCCCCCAGCTCACTATAGGCAACCCTTTTTTAGCAACTGGAAAATGACAGCTGCTCTGTCATACAAGGCTACTAAATCCACTTATCTAGGTGAGCATACTCTCTGAAGTATTTATATTGCTTTGCTTTATGTACTATACTCTCTATACATGTTAGACAATAATTTCTGAACCATCCATAATTTAAAACCCTACATTTTATTTAGCAAACATCTGTTTAGTAACTGCCATGTACTGGGTGCAGGGCTAGACACTGGATATAAATAGATGCATTTTCCCATCCTTGCCCTGCACATTTCACATCTTTCTTTAATGCAAGTGAGGATGGTTGCATGTATTCTTCAGAGAATTCTATTTGAATAGCAAAAATCACCAAGGAAAGAAATACCTGACAGAAAGCATGATTTCCTGTCTAAAATCTGTATTAATCTGATTCAGAAAAGATGGCAACATGCATATGCGGTGTAGTGAATGGCATATCTTATCTCCAGCTCCAGTTTTTTCACAATTGATACCGTATTTTTCTAGCCAGAATTTAGATTAGGGTTTTCCAGGAATATTTAAGATTTAAATTTCATTGTATTTATGTGAGCCAAAAGAACCCCTTAGAAGACCTAAAATATTAGGGAAACATTTTTGTTTGTTTGTTTGAAACGTGCCTGTTGAAGCAGAAGAGAGGGAAGATAAGGGTTAGGGTAGGGAGGAGATACTGGTTGCATTGAAAATCTTGTAATCAAAACCATTCTGTAAGTGATTTGTGTGATCAGCTTATGCACATCATCTAAATAAGACCAGAATTTAAAAACTAAAGCAACATTTCCCAAATTGTAGATGTTCCTGGAATAAAGAATTCTGTGATCACATAAGTTTTGGAAGCATCCATTTGCATGTTAAAAGTTCTGGCATGTCCTACAGTGTGTAATGAAGAATCTGTTCAATTTGTCTAGCTCAGCATTTCCTAAACTTATGTGGTCATAAACCCTCTGCTTTAACTACATAGCGAGAATATATCTCAGACTATAGCTCAGGTGGGACAAGGGTTATAGCTTTATAGTCTTTATCACAATTTTATTTCTATTTTGAGACCCCTTTCTCTATATGTGGGACCTGGGAGGGCTTAGAAACCTAATCTGAGCCCATTTAAAGTTGTTTTCTTCTCCTCTCTCCACCTCCAAGCTTGAATCAAAGCTCTATCAAACTTGCCTAGTACCAAAAGGCTTGTACGCATGGGTAGAGGGCAGGGTATAAGGTCTGTGTGTATGGGTTGAGTAAGGGGACACGTGGTAGGGCCAGCCAGTGCTGAGTATTTCACCCAAGCACGCTTCTGCTGGCCTATCCCTTTTTCCCCGTCCTCCTAATTACCTTTCTCTTCAGGTCTAGAAAGTCTCTCTACCACTATCATTCCATTTTTGGGGGCACAGGGATCATTCAGCTTCTTTCATTCCGCTCTAAGACCCACCAACATCTCTACCATCATCATTTTTCCATCTGCCTTTCTAATTCCATCCCATTTTCTATTTGGAAGGGGAGGAGCCAGATTTATGGAACTGGTGACTTTCAGAGCTCGTGGTCTGGAAGATTTCTATATCTTTGCCTTCTGCCCTGTCAAATCCCTTCAGATATGTAGCACTAGATGGCCTTGCTTCTTGAATCGAGGGGGTGAAGAAAAACAGTGAACCGGAGAATGGCCAAACAATATACGACAAAACATGGACTGGTATTCTGTCACAAATAGAACACTTATTACAGCTTGGAAAACATTCACTTAGGGCCAAAATACCACCATTTTTGAGGTATCACTACTTTGCTGGGGAATGTTTTAAACAAAGGAAAAAGAAGAGTCAGAGAGCGAGAGGAGAAGATAATTATTATGGCATCTTTTCTAAGATTCTAGACTTTTATCATCTGAACAAGAGGAAAAAAAAAATAACAAAGAGACAGCATCTTGAAAGGCTAAAAGGGATGGAGTTAGGATTGGAGCATCAAGAGCGGTTGAAAAGTATATGGAACAAAAACTGAGTTAGGTGCCGAGGATACCTGCTGGATCAGACACTAATTTACTTTCAGAATAGGTTTTTTGGCTGGCCAACATGTCATACATTATGGAGAAGGCATTTCAAAACGGCTGTGGCAAGTTCACCTTGTGGGTTCTATAGGACAACGTGAAACCTAGTGGGATACATAGGCTTCTTAAGCCCTCCCTTCTTCCCAGCTGGCAAAATTTTAACCATTCCTCCTTAGGTGAGGAGAGAGGGGTCAAAGGCTAGGACTAATTTCACAATTGCCAATGAAAATGTAGAAGGTATTTGAATCCAATTGCTTAATAGTTTGAAAATTCCCCTACAGTTGTATCAACAAGATTCATATTAAAGAAATTCCTTTTTATTACTTAAATTTCAGTTCCAAAATCCCATTTAGATTTTGAGTGCTTTAAAACATCTGAATTCAGATCCAGTCAAATCACCCCTCTGATCACCATGCTGGTGAGACCTACTCACTTCTGAGTTTCCTTGTGCCTTTGGGACCTGAATTCAGAGTATGGGCTACAGAAATAAAAGAGGAGAGGCAGTCATACCTGCTTGGTAGTACCGTTAGCAAAATTGCGGCTCCAACTGAGGTGTCAAGAGGCCACCCGTGTGGTTGTGCAGTTTGTACATTGCACAAAGGCACTCAGGGAGGGGGAAGATTGAGGGCTTGAATGATGCAGTTTGCCCTCTTCTTTTCCATGTGTTGCCTGGGTGTCTAGCTGTATCTACTATCTCTTCACTTTTTCTGCATATATCTAGAGAGGACACTTTTTTTCCAACTTGCAAAAGGCACCATGTGAGCAGGCAAACACCCTCAGTCTTTTGCTGATTATGTTAAATGGAAGTAAGAACACAGCGTCGCAGCACAGCCGCACTCCTTTATATGTCAGCCCCTTTTTTTGTGCCTTTGCCAATACTGTTCCCTCTGCCTGGAAGATTGCAGCCCTTTCACTCCTCCCCCTCAGGCTAACTAATCCCTGTTCAGCTCCCAAAATTCAGCACTATCATCCTGAAACTGCCCTTGGATTAATCCTGATCTGCGTTGGCTGCCCTTTTCTGTGCGGCCATAACAGCATTTGCATATCTCTAGTTGTTCTACTGCCACATTTTAAAATGTGTGTTCATTCTGCATGCACTGTAGCATAAAGACCGTTCCTTATTTATATTAGTACCCTGCAGAAGTGCTCAGCTGATTTTTTTTAATGGGGTGGGGGGGAAACAAGAGCTTTTTTAATTTGCTTGGCTAGATTAAGCTAACATTATATTGTTTCATTGTTTTCAGTGTATAGGTAATAGAAATGTAGGCAGTGATTTTAGCCAAAAGTTGCTGAAAAAATGATGGGGCAGAATGAGATAAAAGTCTCATCAGTGTGGTTGCTTCTCGGCACATCTGCTCTTTTTCTCCCTCTTCCTCTCTCTCTTCCTGTCTCCCTCCACCCCCCAATATTGTTCCTAAATTATCAATAACAGCAAGTGTAACAAATAACTGCATGTGTTGTCTGGAGCCTTATTTACATTTAAACAGTTCTTTTTCAAACTATTGCAACTTGGTTTGAAAAGGTTAACAGATGTGGAAAGGAACAATGGCTTTGTTATGTCAAGATGCCCGTCTCTAGCTAGGCCGTCAAACTATTTTTTAAAATGCACTCATTCTGTCTTATATATGAAAATGAGAGGGCGTGGCATTTCACACTATAATTACTTTTGGTAGAATGAAAATCCAAAGGACTGTGATTTGAACTAATTTTAATTAGGTGAATCCAACTCGATCAGACTGTAACACACTATTTTTATTAATAAAAGTTATATGATTAGCAGTATTGTATTCTCTGACCCTTGAATTGCTTTTTAATTCCTGACAGAACATCTTCATAAATCTCTAATACTGTTCTCTGTATAGACACACAACCATACACCAGTAATGTGCTGAAGTGTTGCAGAAAATAGTCCCACTGTCAATAACATGGCATATGAATTTCTGTCATGTATATTCACAAATTTTCCTTACATATCCTGTAAGAAAAAATAAAAGACAGATGATTCTTTAGTTATTCTATTTAATTATAGTTATTTTCTCCCTGAAATGAGTTTTTTTTTTTAATGGAGAATTTCAGTCTTATTAATTGGTATCGAAGTTAAGAAAAATTCCTGGATCTCTATATAATGCCATCTCTCCGAAGGGCAATAAGTCATCTTGAGGAAAGTGAGCTGAAAATAATAGGTTTTCGTTTGCTGTGATAATGATCATTGTATATCCTTGTTCCAGCGGAGCAAAGTCATTCTCTTAGTGGTAAACAAAATGAGATGTGAATATATGTGGATGTAAGCATAAGCTCTGAATATTAAATAAGGCAAGAAGAATCAGGTTAAAATTCAAAAGGATCTTCATGTCTTTATCAAATACCACTCCTGAAGGGGTTATGGGGGAATCTTATGCACTCACATTTTATTACATATTTCATAATAGAGAATTAATGAACAATTATATTTGTGGTTGGCAGTATTCTTCCAAGCAATATTATTTACAACTCATAATTGTATAAAATATTTTGTGAATATAAGTAATTTCATTTTAAAAATTCTGAGAAAAGATCAAATCTACAAATTATAGTACCTACACATTTTCTAGAAAACTTGAAATAGTCAAAGGATCTGCACCAAATAAATTAATGACTCTGCCCCATAATTGTGATATTGTTAAAGTACTCTCAATATAATGTACTAGATTTAAACCATTTCTGGTAGTAAAGAACCTTTCTCTAAACAATGACTGCATATCTGTGAGTAGATGAGCATAAAAGTGGTGTACTACTGAGGAGATTATATTCTCCCACATTGTTTTTGATCCCCTTCAATTGTGTTACTTGCTACAAAAGGCTTTGTCTTGATAAGATGACAAAGATAACAGAGCTAGCCTGACCATAAGATTCAGATGCCCTGTTCTGTTTCTACTTTGGCAAGTGTGGCTTAGTATGAAGCATGAGTAAATGTTATTGAAAGAGAGGACAGAACAGAATATAAATAGGTGCTGCCTATTAAGGACGTATCTGCATACCTGTAGCAATACATGGCATTTTAAAACATAACATTTGGGTCAGAGAAAATTTGCTGCTGTAATTTTTAAAAATCTTCTCTGCCATGCCCTATAAACAAACTTTTGTTTTTCATATAATATGTGAATAGGTTTCAGGAAGGAAGGAGGGAAGGAAGGAGGGAAGGAAGGAAGGAAGGAAGGAAGGAAGGAAGGAAGGAAGGAAGGAAGGAAGGAAGGAAGGAAGGAAGGAAGGGAGAAGGAGAGAGAGCGAGGAAGGAAGGGAGAGAGGGAGGAAGGGAGGAAGGAAGGAAGGAAAGGAGGGAGGGACGGAGGGAGGGGGGGAGACGTAGAGTTTACTAACAGAGTTGCAGGCACAGTTCAGCATCGCCTTATGGCATATTCCCATGATATGCAGGCATGCTTTCTCAGACTTCCCTTTAGTAAAGCCTTCATGAAAATCTGCCTCTGAATTCATATGCAAATACACACAAACAGATTATTAATTCAGATATACTGCAGCCCCCACCCAATTAGTAAGAATCTTCTGAGTCACAGTTTCTAATTAATAAATTCTGAACTCTTATTACTGAATTTCCTTGCAAGCCTGTTTCCTCATAACAAGTTCTGGCTGCAACAACAACAAAAAATGTGAACCTTACATATTTGTAGAAAATAACCCATTGGAGTACAGACATGCAATGTGTTGTACTACAAAGGCTTTCCAACATGGACCTGGATTCCTCCGGAGTGCCGGCAGCAGATTCTTACTATGCTTTAGTCTCGTCTTCAGTGCCAATGACAAGATTATTTTTTTTTCAGGCTGAAATCTAATTACTAGTGGCTGGCAGGATTTCATCTTGTAACTACACTGTATTTGTAGAAAAACATTGTTTTAATCACCTCGTGTTTGAGAAAAGGAACACTTAAAAGGAGAAGCCATCATCCTGGGAGAGGGGGAGAATAAAAAATATGTAAACATTGCCCTGACTGAGATCTCCCCAAAGACTCACTGATGAAATTTTTTGCCTTAGGTGTGCAGAAGGCTATTTTGGACAACCCTCTGTACCTGGAGGATCATGTCAGCCATGCCAATGCAATGACAACCTTGACTTCTCCATCCCTGGCAGCTGTGACAGCTTGTCTGGCTCCTGTCTGACATGTAAGCCAGGTACAACAGGCCGGTACTGTGAGCTCTGTGCTGATGGATATTTTGGAGACGCCGTTGTTGCAAAGAACTGTCAGCGTAAGTCCTGAACTATTGATGCTCCTGACAGAATTGATGTATTGTACTCAAAGTAGCTGATGAGCTCTTGAGCATGGATTGAAGAGTAGGAAATTATATGGAATACATGGTTGATAGATACATAGACTATATAGAGTCTGCATATTCCAGAGTATTTTCTTGTACTGACTATTAGAGTAAATCCTTTTAAAATTGCTGCATTATTGAATTGTCACTGTTTTCCAAATGATAAACATGTTTCTATCCACATGAGGAATGAAGATTTTTTTAATGAACTTATGTCCATGGCAGGAAAGAAGAATTTGGAAATTAGATAGACCCCATGTATCCTTTTTTTGTTTATCTCAATTCTAATCACTTGCTTGAAATAAATTTTTCTGCCCATATTATTTCAGTGGTACCCATCAGAAGATGTTAATCAGTTATGCTTTCATATGTTAACTTTACAGCATCATATTTTGTAATAGATGTAAAATTCTGCCAATATTATCACACACAGCATTAGTCATTGTTGAGTGATTACCTCATTTTTGTTTCATACTACTCATTTTAGGACTATTTCTAGAATGCTCTTTCAGTGTTTTCCTTCCACAAAATTAGCTACTTTAGGGCTTCATCCATATTAGTATAATACATTTCTCCCCTCATCTTTACCTTTTTAGCTGTATTAATATGCTATAGAATTTGTAAATCCTTAATGTCAGTGTGATTATAATATGAAGGGGGATCTTGTTGCAGAAGGTCAAATGGAATGTAAATCCAATGTTGGCACTTGGCCATGATCAGCTTCATCTACTATCAGAATCTTTAGGCAGAGTAGGTTATGAGACCAGCCTATCCATTCATTTCTGTCCAGTTTATGTGAGAGACTCTTCCAATTATCCAGGTGGGTCCCAGGACATGCAGAATTATAGAAACCACTGGAAATGTAGCCTATCATCAACTCTGCTATAAGCACCAAAGACCTAGTAGGGTACCCTATTTCATTATGAAATATGTCTCTCTCATCACAGGTTTAGAAGATGAGTTCCAGCTTTTTGTCATTTAAAAATGGTAATTTGTTGAATCAAAACCAAATCACTCTCTGGACCAATTGGCACCTATTAATATAACCTGTAAATTGATTGTTTTTTTAAAAGCAAAATTTCCAATGGCTCAAAGCGCCTTTAAACACTGGATTCTTGACAAATGTGTAAAATCATAGGGAGCTTAAGAAATTCTTCCTTTCAGACAGATCATCTAGGGTCATGAATTTTCTGTGGGAATTAAAGGATTTGGCACATAGAGGGTATCCAGTGAGTTCCTGAGTCCTGGAGATGCTCACACATAGTAGCTGTCTTTGGTAGCAGTGCTCGCGGTAGCTGTGCGTTATCGGTGGTTCACCAGCGAATTCTAGGGCAATGTTATGGCTTCTTTGAATATCAGTGTCTTCTTGCTCAAGATGGAATAATGGTGATGACATTAATATTTTAACAGCATGTGATAGGCCAGACATGGTGCTGAAGCCTTTACATGAATTATCTCTGTAGCTTGTAAAGTCGTCATAGGGATTAAATGGTAGAATGTCTAACAGGACACTCAACAAATCAGAAAACAGTCTGTTACTGAACTTAGGTGTCCATGTTACCATGTGGGGTATATTATTATTTAACAAGCCTATTCAGACTATTAGAAAGTTTTCCTGACCACAGACCTCTCTTCTCTTTGCAGCCTGTCTCTGTAATGCCAATGGCTCTTTCTCTGAGATTTGCCACAGTCAAACTGGACAATGTGAGTGCAGAGCCAACGTGCAGGGTCAGAGATGTGATGAATGCAAGGTAAAGTAGAGCCTGACCCATGAATTACTTCCTCCTTGCAAATTCTCATTGGCTTTTCGTGACATGTTTTGTATGCCTTCGTAAATTGAAAGGAAGATTTGGGATTATCTAGTTCTACAATTGAAATGACTGTAATCGGTGAAAGGTTTTTTTCCTTTTCTTTCTTTCTTTTTTTTGAGACAAATTCCTGGCTCCGTCGCCAGGTTGGAGTGCAGTAGTGTGATGTCGGCTTGCTGCAACCTCCAACTCCTGGGTTCTAGCGACTCTCCTGCTTCAACCTCCTGAGTAGCTGGGACTACAGGCTCATGCCACCACGCCCAACTAATTTTTTGTATTTTTTAGTAGATTTGGTGTTTCACCATGTTGGCCAGCATAGTCTCAATCTCTTAACCTCGTGATCTGCCTGCCTCAGCCTCCCAAAGTGCTGGGATTACAGGTGTGAGCCACTGCGCCTGGCCCAGGGAAAGGTTTTTTTTTTTTCAAACTAGAACAAAATTCATTGTACATTGCCATTTGACCTTAAACCTACTTTTTTTGGTCAGTGACTGTGTATAATATTTACTTGAATTCAGATATTTCTGAAACAAATAGCATGCAAATTTAATCTTTTTTTTTTTTTTTTTTTTTTTTGAGACGGAGTTTTGCTCTTGTTATCCAGGCTGGAGTGCAATGGCGCGATCTCGGCTCACCGCAACCTCCGCCTCCTGGGTTCAGGCAATTCTCCTGCCTCAGCCTCCTGAGTAGCTGGGATTACAGGCACGCACCACCATGCCCAGCTAATTTTTTGTATTTTTAGTAGAGACGGGGTTTCACCATGTTGACCAGGGTGGTCTCGATCTCTTGACCTCGTGATCCACCCGCCTAGGCCTCCCAAAGTGCTGGGATTACAGGCGTGAGCCACCGCGCCCGGCCAAATTTAATCTTAATCTGTGGAGATACTCTTTCCTTTGCCTTTACATTTTTGGCAGAATAAAATATTACTACTTTTGCTTTTTAGCACACACCTTCTTGTAGTTCCATCATTTAAAAGCTGCTTACTGTGAACACTCTACTTAACAGAAGTTTTCAGTAGAGAAGCTAATCAAGGTATTTTTTAAGGTGCATTATTTTGCTAAACTGAAATATTCAGTTAAAATAGAGTATGTTGTTCTCAGTCCCTGAACTTGTCAGTTGCCCTGCTTTCCCTATGGCAAGCAGCTTCAGATTTCTCCATGAGGGCGGACAGATTTGTTCTAGCTGTTTCACACAAATACATTGCATTCCTGATAAAGACAGTTAAGCAGAAGCAAGCATTTCTCCGATGTCAAACTGGCCTTACTGTAGGAAGTTTGAAAATGTCATCTGCTTCTATCTCTTGAATAATATCATGTGCTCTGTTTTGTTTTCATTTTATTTTTTGTTTGGCTTTTAAAGCCCAATATGTGGCGGGACCCAGAGAAGCGATTCTGTGTGCTATGTGACTGCGATCCCGCTGGCTCTGTGTCACCGCAATGTGATATTACAGGAAGATGTGTCTGTAAATCAGGCTTCGTAGGGAAACAGTGCAACCTCGGCAGGCAGGTGCACCAACAGGAGAAGCAACCTCGGAGAGCGCAACGGGTGCTGGGTTCTCCCCAGAGGTGGGCTATCGGCGGCTCCAGCGGGTGCCCTCGGGGAGCCTATCGGGCCCCAGCTCCGGTAATCCCAGAGGCGTTGCATGGCTCATGCCTCCGCATGTCGTGTTCCGTGGGCTGCGGCTGAAGTTCCCTGGTGGCATTTTACCAAATAACAGTTGCTAAGTGTGCAAATCGCAAATGCAAAATTTAGACAATTCCTAATTGAACCCTTGCCCTTTTAAAAATAACTGTCCATATCCTTTAAAAAGCATACTCAAGCTCATAGGATCATAGAATATTCAATTAACCAAACTTTCAATTAACCATGAATATGCAGAAATGAAATAAAAATCTACTTTTGAGAACCTATAATCTTAGAAATGGAAGGGACTTCAGACATCCTTTGGAGAAAGCTAAATTTTATACATGAACAAATAAAGGAAAATCGAGAAAAGAAAGTGATTTGCCCAAGAAAACTCAGCCCATTTGTCTGGCATTTTATCATAATTAAGAATTTTGTTAATTTCCACATCAGTTGTGCTTATGTGTACGACAAACAGAAGAAACACATTTTCACACACAATAAATGGACAAATACTCAAAATGGGGAAAGCTGTTTCTAATTACGAAAGTGTGGTCCTCATATCACAGGACGAAACAAAACAAATTCTGGGGAAGAAGGAAGAGAGGGAAGGAGGGAAGACGAGGTCCCAGGCTGACCTGCAGAAGAGCAGGAGACAAGACTTGCCAGCATACAGCCAGTACCTGTAGGGAGTTGAGGAAAGGCCGTAGAAGGAGAGGGGAAATAAAAAGAAGAAAAAGTGAAAAAAAATTATAGTTTTATTTCTTGGTTCATTATCACACATTTTTAAAAAACAAATTTTGATGTCAGACTGCCTTAGATCAAATTCTGGCCTCATTACTTCCTAGCTATAGATTCCTTGAATCTTTCTGTAATTCAGCTTCTTCATCTGTAGTAAGATCCACTTCAGAGGGTTTATGTCTGCTTACCTACTCCAAGAAGCAAATGCCAAGAGATTTCCTGGGGGAAAGGCCAATGAAGTATGAAATGGGAGAGAGAGAGCATAGCCTTCTGCTGCAATGGGTTTCTGACTCCCAGGAAAACACAGACAGAAAGACTGGGTAGAAAAAGCCTTGTTTGGTGCATTTTGTCAAATCCTAAATTCTTGGCCAAGCCAATGGAATGTACCCAAGCAATTTTTACCCATTAAAGAAATCCTGAATTGGGCAGGAAGGCTCTAGTATCTTATTGGAATCAGCCTGAGAGAAGGATGATCTTGTGGAAGTTCCTCTTAGTTTATTCAGGGTGCTATAAGAACGTGGCATAGACTAAGTGGCATGTAAATAATGGAAATTCATTTCTCACAATTCTGGAGGCTGTGAAGTCGAAGATCCAGACGCGTGCAGATTTCCTGTCTGGTGAGGGCCCACTTTCTCTAGACAGTCATTTACCTACTAGAACTTCACATGGTGGAGAAACCTCTCTGGGGGCTCTTTTATAAGTGCAGTAATTCCATTTATGAGAGCTCCGTCCTCATGACCCAATCACCTCCCAAAGGCCCCACCTCCTGTCTATGCCACCACCTGGAGGGTTAAGATTTCTGCATATGAATTTGGGAGGACATAGGCATTCAGTCCATTGCAGAGCACCTCTGGTGGGTCCAAAGGACAAGAAACTGGAGGTTTTCAGTCAGTAAAATTCTACGCTGCAGGTTGTCTTGTGGGTAGATGGGATGAGCCACCTCCAAGACTGTCTCCAGGTAGCAGTGAGAACAGTGCATCAGTCAGGAGCCTGGAGAGTTTTAGTAAAGAGTTAGGCGTGAGTACTATTATTACTAGTGTTGTTAAAGGGAGAAATCTTTAAAAATTTTTTTTCAAAAATAAATGCTTACATATACAATAAAAGAAAGGGATAATAACTGATTAAAATGTCTCCAAAATGTATATTTAGCAGAAAATCCACATTCATTCAAGCCCTACATATCTTACAGTACTACTGTATGAAGCAGTATTTTGTCCTGAGACTATTTCTTCCTCTGCGGCAATACGCATGAGAGTTAAGAGCTCGGAGTCGGAAGCCAACCTAGCTGATCTGGAATCATGACTCTGAAATTGATTAGCTCATGACCTTGGGCAACTTACTTAAACTTTCTGTGCCTTAGTTTCACCACTCAATAAATAAGTGGTGATTATGACAACTGTCTGCCAGGGTTGTCCTGAGGAACAAATGAGTACATATTTGTAAAGGGTTTAGATTTGTAAAGGGTTTAGAATCGTGCTTTGCAAAAAGGAAGCACAGTATGTGAATGCTAGTTTTTATTACCTTGAGAGAGACACATTTATGGGAATCCACCCAGTTTCCCACTGGGTCTGGACAGGCACCATCTCTCGTATTTATTTTACCTCATTAATCTCAATTCTTACTATGAATATCTGCTCCTTAAGTTTGTTTATTAGTGGGGTTTTCTTTAGCCTTCGAAATAAATTTTTGAACATCAAATTTATAAACATTTTATTACCGAAATTTGGTAGTATTTATTTTGCTAAACTTAGCCTTTAAAGCTACATTATTTAAATATTTGAAAAGTGAGGTAGAGGCATTTCTTCTTGTATATTTCCTTACATAATTGACTTTGGAATGTTTAAAATGATAGCTATAATTTGGAATTTCATTTGATATTTGATTGATTTAAAGAGGTGTACACACACCCCTTTAATGCATATATCAATATGAGTGTGTCAGATATAGATATAGATATGTATGAGTATGTGTATATATATATATGGGTGTATATATCAGTATATGTATATGAGTGAAGACAATTTCTGAAATCAAGATAAATACAAAGTATTATTTCTATGATTCAGGTATTTTTCAGTACTGTTTTAATATATTGTTTAGTCTTTTTTGTCTATGCATTTCTGTTTCTGTTTTTGTATCTGGGTAGTATATGTGTCATTATGGGTATGTAAGTGAAATTTACATAGTATTTATATAGTTTTGTATTGTTTTAAAATTTCTATTTCATGTTATGATCTAAGCATATTTATATCATTAAAACGGCTTCATAACAGGATTTTAATTCTCACATATTATTACATAATGTGAATGTCATAACTTATTCAACAATTTTTTAACATTGAACATTTAAGTGCCTGCATAATTAATCACTATGATAAATAATATTGTAATTGGCATGCTTTTTTGCTTTAACAATTGTTCCAATTTCTGATTATTTCTCTAAGTGAGGTATATACAATTTATATAAGTTTCTTTTTACCAGTAATAATGTTATATGATTAATATTTTTATATAGGTGAATTTAATTTCAAAATCATGTCATCTATTAGAACTGTTACGTGCTTTATTCTTTAATCATCTACTGCAATCTGAATTAGAACTAAAAATAAAAATAAAGCCAACAGTATATATAAAGATGAGAATGATTGTCAAACTGAGTCAACCCATTTTACATTCTAAAAATAAAACTATTCTTAGCTACAGTCATTTGAAAAGTCTAATTTTCAGTGTGATTTCACTTTTAGAACTTATTTTTTAAACTACTAACATAATATCTAAAATATACAATAAGGCTTATTCATTTCTCTTTAGGTGGCTCACATTAAGTGGAAAGATTTTTTTTTTCACCAAGAAGCAATTATTAAGTCTAATTTTCCAAAATAGGAATTATTTTTACAAAGAAGTAATTACCGAGACTAATTTTCCAGATTAAAATATCATAATAATGTGACATGCTTTATATTTTTTAAAAAATAACCCTGACGTATTTTAACCCGGATAGATGTTTTTCATTTTTCTGCTAGGAGTGATTTTTTCAATCCATTAGCACTTTCTAACATTGTCATTTTAGACCTGATGACGTGCATTTCAAGAAAGTCAGCCAAAGCTGATAATGCAAACTTGATCATAAAAGGTGATTTGTTATAGATAGATAAGAGATATGCAACTCAACAGAGAATAAAAGTTTCCTTTGCCTACCTGATCTGATGCTTTAATACATGTTCTCACCAATCAATTTCAGTTGTTAGAATGAAACCCAAGACACCAAATGTTTGTTGAACCAATTATTTGTTCTGTGTAAGCATAAACTGAAAATTATATTTATAATGTGAATACAGTAGTAATGATTAAGAGTATTTTTGGATATGTGATAAAATTAGATCAAATATTAGGGCAAAAAGAATTATTTTAACTTTACACTGCTGGTCAATAATGTTGAAATTATTTTTTCCAAGTAGGAGTTCATAAGATCAGGAAAAAATCAATTCAGATGACTAAGAATGAAGCAAGTAAAATTTTAAATTAAGACTAGAAATACCACCTATAAGTCCTTTCCATATTGCTATTAGAACCTTGAAAAGTACCGGGAGAGGCTGGTGAAAATACGACAATAAAGGAAGCACCTAATTCTGCCATTAATTTTGATGAAGAATAATGGAACTTTTCTCTTTGGATATCATAGAAAATGTCCATTTGATTAAATGAAAACCCAATTGTCATAACATCAGTGAAGAATCGTGATAACTTTTAAGTTCCTCTTTTCCCACCTGATCTTTGGTATTGTGCATCTTGTTTCACTTTGAGTTCATGGATTTAAATTTAATTTTTCTCTCCTCTTCTGTTGCCAGCCTGGAACCTTTGGCCTACAATCAGCAAGGGGTTGTGTTCCCTGCAACTGCAATTCTTTTGGGTCTAAGTCATTCGACTGTGAAGAGAGTGGACAATGTTGGTGCCAACCTGGAGTCACAGGGAAGAAATGTGACCGCTGTGCCCATGGCTATTTCAACTTCCAAGAAGGAGGCTGTACAGGTCTGTAAGTGAGACTTAAGTCCAACATCTTCACTCTGGTAGTTTTAGTGTCTGACTTCTGTAACGGTTTGCTCTTTTAAGAAGTGATCATTGATAACAAATATATGATACAACATATTTAACATAATGTGTAATTACTTATTTTACATTACTTAACAAATGAAATACATGGCAGTTTGAAACACTGCCTTATAAATAATCACGTGCAAGTACTTAATAAAAATCAGCAGATGCTAATTTGGTTGTGTCCCTCCCTGTCTATGACTTTCATTTGGCCAGTCACTCAAAGACTGCTACAGCTTGAAAGTTAAATGTTCAATTTTTCTGCTACCAATCTTATCTTAGTTTAAGCTCTACCCGCCTCCCCTACGCCGATGCATTTCAACTTTCTCTTTGTCCTATTGCAAAATTGGCATAAGGATCAGGAAGTCAAGATTTGTTTTTTGGTTTTTTTTTTACTGGTACCCCCAAAACATGTTTTGAACTACTTTTGGCTGCCTTGAAAACTGTGATGTTCTGAGACGGAAACAGATTGGCTCTGAGTATTTAGTTCATCAAAACATGCAGGCAGAGGTCTCTAACCATGATTCCTTCAAGCAGAGGTGTCTAACTATGATTCCTTCTAACCATGATTCACTCAAGGCCACAGCCTTCACCCAAATCATGAGCTAAGAAAATATCACTTAGCATGCTACAGATGAAAGTGAAGATTGAACATTAGCCTTGATTTATATGCCATTAATTTTGAGTTGACCCCTATTCCAACAATCACTAGGTTGAGTATCATCTTTGCTTACTAACCTCATTGATTCATCCTGGATGATACTCACATACTCTCAGCACTACGGTAAGATTTTAAAACATTATTATTCACTGTTGTGGCAAATTTATGTAAGAAGCAGTAGGAATAATATTTAAAACTATTTAAAGAACCAATATCTTTCAGATATTCTCCAGTACTTTAGATATGTGATTTCTACCATAAATTAAGCCATGATAAGTTATGCTAATTGTTAAAATTGTAGATCCTCTAAGAATCTATATATCTCTTAGCCAATATCTATATATTCTTAAAAATTATGAAGCTGTATTTTAAAATATACCCTGTTCTTTAAATCCAAAGCTCACTGACATTTTTACTTAATATGAATTAATGAGGTAGTATTATACATTTAAATACATAAACTAACAAATTATAAATGAGTTAAGAATATTATTTTAAATTATATAATGGTGACAGTATTTAAGAAATGCAGAGCTACTAGCATTCTAACCCAAAGAAACACCATAGGAAAAAAAAAAAGCACTAAACAGGCAGGATAGTGATATGGATGTGGATATGACTTGCACAGAACAGCTGGGAAGTGTCTAATGGCTCCCTCAGTAACTAGTTTTGGGACCTTGACTAGGTGATTTTGTTTCACTTTCCATCTGCAAAATTCATCTATTAAATTAGATATTAATAATATCTACCACACACGGTTTTTGTTACAATTAGTTGAGTTAGTGGCTATAAAATATTTAGAGTAATGCCTAGCATGTTAGTATTATGGAAACGTTTATCATTATTATCTTTAGTAGTTTTATTAATTGTGGTATACACTGTGCTTTGGCACAAGAAAACTAGCTAATTACTCAGGTCCTCTCTGTTTAGTGTTATGATTCCACTGAAGAACTGTTCAAGAGAATTTCTATTTGCAAGTAATGATGTGGACTGTCCCATGACATTTTTTTAGCATATAAATTTAAACACAATGGTAACTATTTTTCTTCTTAATGAATGACACATCTAAAATAAATCATTTGGCTTAAAATTAGCAACAATAGTAATAACAAAAACAACAATAACTAACATTTATTTAGTGTTTATTCTGTGTAAAGTATTTTTCTAAACATCTTTCATAGCTGGTGTGTAATGCTGTGAGCAATCTCATAAAAAATGAATTTAGTCAAATATTCTAAATATATTCAGTGGAAATGATTCGGTCATCATATAACTGATAAAAAGTTTACTCATAACATTAGTCTTCCATTTGAATTCAAGTATTTGGGTTTCTTCTGTCACTTACATTTCTTTGATATGAAATGCTGCACAAAAATATTCTTAGTAGCTGGGTCAACTATCACTATGTGGCATGCATTCCTTGTCTTGGATGGCTTTGAAGATCTTCCCAAACATTATTTTTGGAGTCTTTGAAAAAGGACAAAAGGTAGATAACTTTGTAGTCTTTGAATGTTGCATGATGGCAACAAAAATGAAAAATCTATAGAAAAAGTCAGGTGGTAAATAAAAATCAAAAGTATCTTTATATGTAAACACTGTAATTCAACTATTTTAAAGTATTTGCAAAATTGCAATATCCTGATGTGTGCTTTTCTAACTATATACATGATGTACTGAATTTAAGAAGCTTATTTAAGCTTATTGTTTTTACTGCAGATCAGGCTCATTGACAACAAAGAAAAACTAATTGGTACAGAACAGACAAATTAGAAATAAACTTAAAGATACAAACAAAATAGTAAACTTTATAGGATCTGGACATAAGGTATTACAGTTATCAAGGAATCTGATAACACCAGTTCTTTCCTTTCCTAAACTTCATAGGGAAGCTAAAAATACTTTAACTTTTGAAATTATTAAATGAAATACATCATATATTTTTTGAACAGCTCCTTTGTGAAATGCATTGTACTATGATATAAAAGATGAATGAGTTAGCTGGGCATGGTGGCGCATGCCTGTAATCCCAGCTACTCAGGAGGCTGAGGCAGGAGAATTGCCTGAACCTAGGAGGCGGAGGTTGCGGTGAGCCGAGATCGCGCCATTGCACTCC